CCTCTGCATTTAGATGGGGATGTGAATAACACCGAGTCATGGCCCCTGCCTTTCTGTATTTCCTTCTTTCTTTTAGCAGGCACCTGAACTAATGCATGTGTTCAAGATAGAAATAAATATAAGGAGTGAGTGTGAATAATGGGGAAGAACAGATTATGAAGAACACACCAGAAAGATGCAGGAGGGGCAAAGGTGAGGGTACAGGTCCACAGACCAGGGGTTTTGGGACTGCACTGCCTGTGTTGATTCAAACCTAAACCTGAGGATTGTGATGAGGTGAACTAATTCTTAGTACCTAATGCTACAGTGCATCGGGATTAGATAGTTCTTGCTGAGTATTGTTCCTTCTAATAATAAAATTGTTCCAAATGGTCAATTTGTAACAAGATTTAGAAATGGGACACATTCAAGCCTCTGAATATACACATTACACTTTGGAACTGTACATAATTGCTCAACTGCACTTGCAAATTATGTTGTTAGCCCACTAATTATTCAAATAGTTGGGGCAATTCTACAGTTGTGTGTGTAATTATGTTAATTGTTAATGCAGTTAGGTACTGGTGCACTGTGACTAATCACACATGCAGTACCAGCTCCTGATCAGCCTACTGTCTCCATGCAGGGGCTGCCCCTCTCAGAGAAAGATATAAGTGGGTGATACCAAACCACATGCTGTTAGTGTAGGTCCATCTGGCACAGCTTTTCCCTTGGGAGCTCCATATACATTTGATGAACAATCAGATCTTTGAATGAATTCATCTGTTTTTTCTTTGGCATATCCTGTGCCCACTCACCCCTTCCAGATAGAATAAGGCATAGGGTACAGGTCCTGGGTGCTTGCATTCATTCTTACACAGAGTCACACACAGAACCATGCAAAGTTTAGTTCTGAGGTTGGCTCTATTAACCTTTCTGCTGGTGGTCCCTTTGCCTATAGAGATCATCTTTTGGTCAAGGATTTTAATTCTGTCTTTTCCTATCACCTGTATGGTTTGAGAAATATCTCTTAGTTCATGACAACAATTTTGCTTCAAAAGCAAGATGCAGATTAGGTGCCTTTTAGAATACTTTGATGTTTATGTTGTGGGAACAAAATAGAGAACCAGGGTGACATTCATGATTTTCCCTTGTCTCTTCTTTCAATACTGGCACATGTCAGACTGTGGTTAGGCTCAGAGCACAGGGAAAACATTCATAGCTGTAAGTCTGATAAAACTTGAAGTCTTCTGTGCGTCAGCAACCAGTTCTATATTTCACTCCGTAAGAGATATGTATGCTATAGATGTGCCTATCGCTTTTCAAAACTGACTCAATTTTAAGTATCCTGCCCAGTTGTTCCCATTTACCAGGAATTCCTAAGATCTGATACACCCCAAGATGTTTGACATTTTAATGATAAAATCCCTTACCAAGAAATTCATGTAGATATATATACAAAATTGCAAATATGGTTTCAGGTTCCCTGAAGCTCATTCATATGTTTCAGATCATATTATAAAGCCTTTTAACAAACTAAAAAGTTGTTGTTACCGACCAAAATATTGCTTTTATGTTTGTCTGTTTGTTTTGGTTGCTTTGAAACAGGATCTCACAATGTATCTCTGGCTTGCCTAGAACTTGCTATGTAAACTAAACTAGCCTTAAACTCCCAGAAATCCATCTGCCTCTGCCTCTGCCTCCCAAGTGCTGGGATTGAAGGTGTTTTCCACTATGACTAAAGTGCTTGGTTGTGATGGCATTTCAAAGTGCCACCTCTCGGAGGTGATTTGTGTAGGCAACACATTATTACATGAATCGACTCTCATTTAAGGCATATCACTGAATTAAACTGATAGAAATCACATTGCAAATATATTTAAGTCACATTTACATGAACTCTGAGATGATAAATTCTGCTTTTAGGCTTAGGAAGATATGATCAAACCACTACGAGTTTTTGTTTTCATGAATGTTTCTCAAAATGCAGTTGGATGTTTTTAAAAAATGAGTATTTACAGCCAAGCGTGTAAGCTTGGTTTGTTTATTTGGATAGAGGAAAGAGAGACAAGATCAAAAGATATGTTAGGGGTGGGACAGGATGTACAGCTATGAAGTTTAGCCACAGACCTTCTTTATATAGAACATGGGATTCCCAAGTTGCATGTGCACATTATATCTTGGGTCCTTGACATCAACAATACGTATTTACTGTTCAGACTTTGTGTTTGTTAAACCTGGCACTAAAGAACTAAGGCTAGATTTCTCAAAAGAAACTTTATGTACCTTGACTGCTTTAAGATAGTTACAAGCACTTGCTGTTCTTGCAACAGACCCAGTTTGGGTCCTGCAAGCCAAATTCAGGAGTCTCAACCATCTGCATCTCTAGCTTCAAGGGATGTGATCCCTTCTGGGCTCTTCAAACACCCATATACACATGCTCATACATAGAAAGACAAATATACACACACACCCCCCCCACACACAAACGCACACATTTTTAAAGAAAGATATCAGCTCAGAAACCTGACCTTTGTTCTCAATACACTGGGATAAAGGAATAAATAAACCCAAAACAAACAAAAGTTCTAATATAATGGAGTTTTGAGTGGAAATTAATAAAATAAAGAATATCAAAACAGTACATAAAATCGTTTTATCCCTTTTACAATGGTGGGAAACATTTTTTGAGAACAAGAACACGTGTAGTGTGTCCTCCTGCAGCCAAATTTTGTCTTTCAACTGAGTGACCCTTCTCTGCTGGGTGGCTTTTCTTCCTAGGCTGACCTCTCCCTGTGGGGTGACATTTCCGAGGAGATGGCCCTCTGTTTGCAGAGTTCCCCCTCTCGAATAAGTAACCCTCCTCTGCAGGGTAAATTTTTCTGAGATGACAACTTCTTGTGTGGCAATTTTTCCCAGGAGAGGGCATTCCCTTTTCAGAGTTCTGCTTTTCAGATGAATGACCCTCCTCTGCAGGGCAGATTTGGATGGGATGACCTCTCCCTGCAGTGTGATCTTCACTTTCAGAGGGTCTTCTCATTGCCAAGTTACCCCTCTCAAATTAGTAGCCCTCTTCTGCATTGGACCTTTTTCTGAAGTGAAGCCTCACTGTAAGGTGACATATCACAGGAGAGGATCCTCTACTTGCAGAGTTACCCTTTTCAGATAAATGACCCTTTGCAGTATGGCAGCTTTTAAGGGGGAGACCTTCACCAACAGAGGGTACTCTAACTTCTCTGGTACTATGTTCAACTGAGCGTCCATCCTCCACAGGGTGTCTTTTACTCTGAGGCAGACCTCTACCTAGGGGGTGTACTTTTATAGGAGTGGGTCCTCTCTTTGCCCAGGTACACTTCTCAGATGATTTGTTCTCCTCTGCACAGTGGGTTTTGATTGGAAAACCTCTCCCTGCAGGGTGATCTACACTTGCAGAGGGTCTTCTCCCTGCCAAGTTAAACCTCTCAAATGAGTAACCCTCCTCTGCATGGTTCCTTTTCTAAGGCAAAGTCTCGCTGTATGGTGATATTTCACAGGAGAAGATCCTATATTTGCAGAATTACCCTTCTCAGATGAAGGACCCTTCGAGCAGCATGACTTTTTATAGGATGACCAGTCCTTGCACGGCGATATTCACCAGCAGATATTCCTCTCTCCTCTGAGTTACCACACTTGAATGAGTAACCATCCTCTGCAGGCTACCTTTTACTGAGGAGATGCCCAAAGTCATCCCCTTCCCAAATATGTTGGTCACGAACATGAGGTCCTTTCTGTCAGAAATCATTTAATTAAAACCAATGAACTGAATGTTTTCTAGTATTATCTGTGAAAATGGACTGGAAATATAACCCAAATGTCTGTTGTCTGAATTAGTTCTACAACAAGGATCATATCTCTGGATTGTCCAAAAATTTAGTTCTTTTATAAGGAATTTAGAGGAGCTACATTCTGCATGTCCAACCGACCGCACTAAGCGAGGATTCACTGGAAGCTATTTGTACAAAAACAAAAATTGTGGGAACTGGCTTATGCCCTTAAGACAATTGGTATTCTTATGCAAATTATCCAATGTTCAATAGCCAAATTATTGGACCACTACTCTGATGTCATTGTGGAATCATGTTGGGTGGGGGAGGAGGCGTTTTTTTAAAGACCAGGTTGTCCTTGATCTCACACAGATCCCCAAGCTATTGCTTCTCCAGTGCTAGCATTAAAGCCTGGATGTCCTGAAAATGTCTCTTGGTTAATATGTCCTACTTCCTCTGACTTTTTCTATGCCTAAATCACTGGGACCGTACTCTTCAATCCTGAGTGCAAAGGTGTGGAGGAAAACTCAATTTAAGGGCGTTGCAACTCAGAGGGTGAAAAAAAAGGGTGTCATCTCCAGCCTATTTTCACTGAAGAAGAATAGGGTTATTTAACTCTTCCTTTTTACATTGCCTCCATATTTGGTAAACTCTGAACATGGCAATGAGTTCATTTCGATTCAACCCAAGAATGTAAGGATGATAATCTATTAGTCTGTGTATCACATAAAAGAAACACATAGACTGAAAGTTTAAAAAAAATTGGAAAGCATGCAAGATATAAATTGTAAGCCTAACAGGGAGGAGCACAGAGAAAAATGTAGAGCTCAATAAAAATCAATAAAACAATTATTGATACCATGCAGTGTTAACTAGAGTGTGGGAAATTTACTACACATTATTGCTGGGAATTTAAAAACATATAATGATTCTCTTGGATAATTTGTAATCATTATATCTAATTATAAAATGCAAATGTACTTTGATATGGTATTTTGAGATGCTAAACTGCTTGCACATTGGTACAAGGATGTTTATAATTTATAAGAGTATGAAAAATTTTATGGTCTATCTGTAGAATTAAGATAATAGAGACTATTATCTTTTACCTGTGATATATTTCTGTATCACTGAAAATGAAATGTATTTCCATAGAGAAAACAAACGGCAACCCTACAAAATCCAGAGTGGCAATTTAAGTATGTCACAAAATGCACTTTAAAACAAAAGCCGATGTTCAGCAATTTTTTGAGCCCGAGGTTGAACTTCTTTTAGCATTGCACTGGCATCCTCGTCATAATCCAGTTTACAGGCAAGGGCTAGATCATGAGCTGCTTCTTCCCAGTGACCCAAGAGTCTGTGTGCTTTCCCTCGCCACTTGTATGGCTGAGCTGAATCAGGGTTTATTTCAATGGCTCTGTCACAGTCTCGGATAGCAGCATTTGGCTTCTGTAATTTGATGAACACACTGGCTCTCTTGGCATACAGAATAGCCAAGCGAGGATTTAGTTTGATGGCATCAGTGAATAAGTCAATTGCTTTCTGCAGCTCACCATCATTTAGGGCTTCAATGGCAGCCCCCTTCTTTTCATTTGCTTGATCCATCATCTCCTCAGTTATCTCTCCATTTTCATCTCCCATCTCTTGAGGGGCATCAGTGTCTGGCTCAATTACACCTTCATTGTCAATTTCTAGATCACTCTCCTCACTTGATGGTTCATCTGTCTTTATGCTTTCCTTGTTAGTGGGAAGTAAATAAAACTCATTTAAGTTGATTGAGTTGGACATATGGTTACTAAAGCATCTTGATTTGTCTTTTTTTAATGTTTTATTTCAAAATGGTCTGCTTCAGTGAATTTCTTGGGACCACCAGTATTTGGATCTGACCTGGGTAGAACTGAAATGTTGGACAGAACAGCAGCAAGTCCTAGGTTTTTTTGACCTTGTGTAAGCTCCATTTAAATCTTACACTGTGCTGCAGGGGCGATTTTTATTTTTAGGCATTGCAGTGGAGTTAGAATCCCTAGTTCTGCCATTGTCCACTGTTTCACATAAATGTTCCCTATCATTCCCACATAGAGGAAAAAGTGCTTTCTATGTTTCTGTCAAAAATTACCTTTCCTGTTAGAAAATACCTGTCTGCTTGTCCTCTTGATCTTCTTGTTGAGCTAAAGGTATTTTTTTCACTAGCATCATCACTTTGCAACATAATTGTGGAAGCATATTTATTGCTAGTTTAATTTCATATATAGTAATATGGTCATTGTAAGGTCATACCTGGAACAGCTGTGGTATCTTATTGGACCATTGGGTTGTTTGTTTGAATATTAAACTTTGACACTTGTGAACTCCTATCATATCAGGAGTCTTTGGAAGAGAGCTTCCCTTTGGTTTTAGGTTTGCTTATGAAATTGAGAAACATGCGATTTTAGAGTTGATGTTGAAGTATACATCTTTGTATTTTGAAGAGTTTAAATTGTTTACATATGATGAAAGATTGATTTGCCCTATTTAGCTCTTAAATACTGCAATGTATTTAATGCTTGTTTTCTCTCCTGCTGCAAGGATAAAGAAAAACGATAAATCCACAAAAAAAAAAACCTTATGGGCTAAATTAAGCTTACTATTGATCAAAGGGTTGAGTGTAAGAGGAAACAATTACAATTGCCTAAGACCACAAAAAAATACATAAAGTAAAAAGTCACAGAGGTACAATAGGCAACTCAAAATACTAATAACAGATTTCAATAAATACGTTCAGTAGCAGTTACGAGACTAGAGAGAATGTTAGTGTGACATAAAAGACTTGAACAACTCTAAGAAGCAAATAGTCCTAAACAAACATCTATACTACATTCCACCCAAGAGTACCAGCACAGACATTCTTATCAGGACAATGTAGGAAATTCTCCATATTACATCATACATTGGAAGAAGAAAAAGAAAAGAAAAGTATAGAATTAAGAAAACACTTTAAACACGATGGAATGAAGTTAGAATTTGATAACAAGGAAATTTACATAATTTAGGAAATTAGAATCTGTTGAAAGTAAATACTATGACAATGTGTAAAAGAAGAAACTAAAAAGAAAGATTAGAATACATATTGAAAACACCAGAAATGGTGTGAAGGCCTACAAACCCAGCCACTTAAACTGTTGAGGAAGGAGAATTAAAGGTTCAACTACACAGAAAAGATGTTGGAAATCAAAAATGCAAATGAAGACAAATTAAATGAATATATATAT